AATGTTATTAAATTAACATTGTTTAGTGTCGTTCAGTTGATATTATTTAGTTACTATTTTTTAGGTAATCCTATTAAGTTAATATTGTTTAGTGTTGTTTAGTTGGTGTTCCTTACTTAATTTTATATTCTGTACTAGGTACAAAATGTAGGCCTCTTTATGATACACGTTTAAGTTTTACAATATCACAACTCACTATTTGTTTGTGTTTCTACTTGTTACTGATTGTTCCACTCAGTTTACGTTGTTTAAACCTGAAGTCGGTCGCTAATTGTAAACGTGACTGTCACACTCAGATATACAGTAAATAGGAAAATACACCACTGCATATATAAAATGCGATTTAATTTCCATAACCCGATGTAACAAACGATAATGTTAATTGAGTTTCGTGGTTATCGCGTCCTGTTTGAATGTGTTCTATGTTTTTATTTGTAACGTAATGAGCTATTCTCTTATATCCTTTCTTTCTATTTGGTTTATGCTGTGTGTGCGGTGCATGGTCAAAACTAAAGAGCGGTAAACTAATATATGGATTTTGCATTTTGATGTTTAATTAACCATGTGGATGAATTCCCAGTCAACTGTATAAAAAGTACATGCCTGTTGTATAGATAATGGTTGTAAACGAGCCATGTTTGTGTGAAAAGGATAAAAAAAAACTTATCTCCCTAGAGCTAGCTAAATTTCACGTGACAACCCCCCTTTGTGATGAATGGTAGGATGTTTTTTAAAGACATAATACTTTAGTCATTTCTGCTTCATTAGACAAGCTTGATTGGAATATTTAGGACAGATGACATGACTATGTCTGTGATCGATGAATACGATTACAGTTGAAAAGAGCTGTACATGTGCCGGCATGTTTGACACCTATAACCTTGGAATGTCAATATCATTGATATGAGGAATCTATATTTATCACTTCACTGGACTCATTCCTATTTTGTGTGTGTGGTTTTTTTTCTCTTGGTCATTGTAAAGTGTGCAAAACTGAAAAAAACGTGGGAAATTAGCTTCAAAATGGCGGCGAGTAAACAGAAACTAACATTATTTGTTTTATCTATGATCAGCCTTGGGATTGGTACAGTTTACGTGCCATGACCTCATTCTTTACAAATGAAAGGACTTTCTACACAATAAGTAGCTTTGCTTGTAAATTTGGTTCAACTGACGCTCCTTTGAAATAGTATGTTTTACAAAGGTGATAAAAGAAATGGGGCACTTAAACGAAGCCACTGCTTTAGAATAAAGACTAAAATGATAACTTCACAATCGTTTTCTTTCTTTAGGGAACAAGTTGTTTGAATGCTTTTAGTTGAATTACCCGTGAAATAGATTTCGAGATTGGTAAAGTATTGGTTTTATCTCGTTCAATCTGTTTGGCATTTCTAAATATATCTATTTGAGACCCCATATCAGATACTTGTTAACTATGCTGTTGTTGTTTTTCGAAATAATACGAGAGAAAATGTCAGATATGTATAATACGCAAAATTGTCATTTCAGTCTAAGGCTAAGATCATGTGACATTCCCATCTCGTCTTGCGTATATTATACTAGAATTGTAAAGAATTTTAGCTAGCGACAAAGATATCCTCATAACGTTCAACTATATGTAATATACGGTTACATGATCATATACTGATACTCGTCTTGTTGCAACGATTTCTTCGACAAAAAAGAAATAACGAAAAAAAAGTTTGATTGTTATAAAATAGTCATTTATTAAATGATAGGTAAAATTGTGAAACAACCAATTTACAATTATTATGATAAAATATTATTAATCTTGGAAAATACAGTATATTATGTACATTATATTATTATGTAACAGCTTAGATTGGGTACAAATTATAACCTTAAGCAGTACATATGATAGCAACGAGCAATAGTACAAAGACCTACATAAAAGCTAATGACACTCACAAACAACCATTACCAAATGAAGAAAAATATTGAAAAATTCTCAAGTTCCCAATATATAAAGGAAAAACAATGGTCAAATAATATAATCAAATATAAGATAAAAAAAACAACCTGTTAAGACAGAAAAACGAGAGGATACGCACAGGGTGATGATTGGTCAAAATGGGTCCGCTGACCAGAGAGCACGGTAACAATATCTACTGATCATGCGTGTATCTCCCAAGGCAGAGAGACTGGCTTACTTTGTTGGTTTTATTTATCTAGTGTATGTCATTATTTGATCCTATTATCAGATATAGATAGCCAATAAAAATTGTATAACAATGTCACTACTCTTATTTAAGTCTTTGAAAAATATTGGTTTGGTTTTATTTTGTTTAACGTCCTATTAACAGCTATGATCATTTAAGGACGTGCCTCCACGAGTGTTATGTATGTCTGCATGTGTGTATGTGTGCAAGGAGACAGGGTGTGTTGGGGTACTTGCCTCTTTGTGATAGCGCGGATCTGATGCCGACTTTATAGTGCTATCTAATTGGAATATCATGCCGAAAGCACCCAGCACAGCATCCCGCCCAGTCAAATTATACTGCCAACGGGTGAACCAGTTGTTGCCACTACCCTAAATGCTGAACGTTAAGCAGGGAATAACAGTCCAGTCCTGGGGACAGAAACCATTACCTTCCTCACCTGGGCGAACGCTTAACATTAAAGCCAGAAGTGAGGTATTGCCAAGCAATGCGCTAGGAAATAAAAGGTAAATAGAAGTAGAAAGATAAAGTTCCCCAATGTTTCAACGGGTGCAGCAGATTTATTTTTGGTCGCTTATTGTGTTCCCAAGTAGAGGACACAAAAGCAAATCCCCAATTCTGCAGGATGTTCCCAAATTAGTCGCCCCTTACGATACATGCAGTAGGTAACAGCAGGTGAATTTTTTTGTCCGACCTGCAGGAGTGTGAAAAATATTGGTATGTACGTTTTATCTAAATATGGATGTCATGCAAACATGAACATTCTTAAACAGCATCCAGTTCTTAGAAGGTCTTTAGTTAACCAAACATTTTATATTGATATATATTATACATATTTTGCCATTGAAATGATAACAAAATAATTCTGAAAAAATATTCCGTTAGCTTGAACATGGATCAAGAACAAGAAATTGTATCAATTCCGTATAACAAATTTGTATAAAAATATAACTTACATAAGGTCAAGCTTAGTGAGGAAAAAATTAAGGTTTGTTGTAATCGACTTTGTATTTATGCAAATTTGGAAATATGAAAACTGCATATACTACCTTTGTTCCAGTCGTTTGATGGCATACATTGTCTAAGTTTTCATCATAAAATTAGGCAAAACCTAAACGCGATTGTCGCTGTCATTGTTAAAAGTTGGATTTTTTAAACCACCTTTTATTCCACTTATATCCGAAAGATGTCCTTTATCTTTCGCTCTCCCTTCCTCGGCTTCTTTGCCATGACATGTCTCATCTTCTTCTGTAGGTTTTTCCGCTTCTGTCTTTATGACTCTAATTCTTTCAGTCGTCTGTTCATCTGACAACTCTTCTGTTTCCCCTTGAATGCAACAGCACCCAGTGCATCGTGATTTTTCAATACATATTTTTTGCCAGACATTTGGCGGTTGGTCGTTATCATAAACGCTAGGATCGTTATCCATTTCGAAGTCAGCAACATAATAGTCCTTTTTGAATTTTGTTGCTGCGTTGTTTAATAATCTGGTCAAATTTGTATTTTCTGCTTTCTTGTGTTCAGGGAACAACACAGAATCAAAGAAAATGGGTATCAACCCGCCTAATACAACCGCGGGTGCTTCACTGTATAGCGAACTATCGAAGTTTTTGGCTACCATATGTTGTACAAATAGTATTCCCGAAACAACAATTCCCCAGAAAATGAATTTAAGAATGCCCATCAAGAAATTCCATGTTAAATCTCCAGGGGAATGACTAGTGTCATCTCGGCAGAGCTCAAGAAAAAAGTCGCGATTGATCGCAGATTCTCCGTTTGGCAAATAGAACAAAACAAACCCTTTAAGTTTTAAAAAAAGTTTCCTTTCGTTTCGTTCTGGCCATGTTTCGTCTCTAGGGTCTGAAGGAACTACTCTGTTTTCAAAGACGCGTGCATTTAGTGTGTTGGTTTCATCCACTGACTGAGATATGTGTTTCATGCACTTGTCAAGGAACTCAATATATTCCGTATGTGTCTTCTGAAGTTGTTTGAAACCATTAAAAAGAACAAAAAGCACAGTTGAGGAAACTAGTGTATACATATTTGATCCACTTTTAAATGCCAACCCAACAAGGATGATCACTATCACTCGGGCTAATATGGCTACTATAAAAAACGCCAAAAAGAAAAATGTAACTTCCAGAATAATAAGTTGAGCGGAATAAACTATTTCGTGCCTGCAGAAGCCAAGCGTAGCTTTTGTCACAACCATTGATATAGGGACAACAATAAAAATAAACAGACTGACGATTCCATCCAACAATGTATGAAACGGATCACATTTATAAAAAAGAAACACAGGTACAAGCACTCCGGCTGTGACTATCATACAGAAGAGAATGTGAAGCAGAAGGTGCAGACATGTACAGAGTCTAGGTACACAACAGCATCGCTTACACCATTTACACACCGTATCACTGATCTCCTCAACGGAAGCTTGAAGAAGGGACACTAGTCCGAAAGAGTTCTGTGATATCAGAGCATCCCTTTCAATGTCAAACCAAAACCCGGTGATGTTGAGCTTATACGTTGTTTTTTCGGTCGTTATTTGTTTCCATCGATCTGATCGTCGGCCTCCACTGCAAACAAATTTACATCGTTCGAATTTAAAAGCTGGAAAGTTGATTTTATTCGGAGAAAGTTGAACTTCGTCGGATTCACAAGAAGACCTTTCAACAACTTCACATGTTTTTGTCTTGGGTTGTTGTAGTTTAAAAAGAAATAAACGTGCTTTGGTTTGAAACAATCGTCTGTACATGGTTAATATGATAACACAGAGTATCGTTATGATTGTTACGCCATAATTTAAGATTCTCTTACCCAGTCGAACCAATGGATCTTCATTTAACCTTATCCAGTCTGAATCTTTTATAGATGTTTCAGTACACTCGTGGTAATAGGTATCTCTGAACAAGAACCAATCGTTGGGTTCCTCGTAAGGTTTTGCAAAGCACACTTTCTTGACCAATAACTTTTCGATACCGTCTTGGTCCTTTGTTAGTCCACAAAGAAGCCAGTTTTTCACTAGAGCATCGGGTATCGTGATGTTAGTTAAACATCCAGGGGGAGAGGGGATCAATTCCATACGTTGTCGGTCTACTCTGTCGCTCAGCAGGGGAAGATCTATGGTTAGAAATTCCATTTGTGATTTGAGTGTCAAAAGTGTCTGTCCTAAATCCGTCTTGACCAGGTCAAATCTGTAGTGATTGCGCACGTTCGGGTCGACATCGGTAATGGTCAGCTCTAACACTATAAGAGCGGTATCTTTACATCTATTAATGAAACTTTCTAACAATTTAAAAAAGTTAGAATGTTTTGGTCTCGCCTGGCAGGTATCTCTCAATACCAATGTCTCGTTCACACATTCCCCCAGAACACTTTGAGCACTCGTAATGTCTAAGGCGCTGTAGGCTACACATACGACCAACAATAATACAAAACAGCTTTTCTTCATGTTGCTCCGTCGAGTGTACCAGCCGACAAGGTCTCTGTTTATGGCGTGGTTTAAAAATTGCATACGGCAATCTACCCTGTCTGTGTTAAGTAGGTCAGCTGTGTAAAATTCCCTGAAATGATAGCTGACGTCAGCTAGCGGATTCAGTTCCCAAGAATTACCTGTGCGTACCTGTCTTGCTTGCTGGCTGGCGGTTCGAAGAGTCTATTGATTTGATGTTTTAATTGCTGAAAATAATGTGCTTAACATAACTGTGTATGCATGTTTTATGCAAATTAAAGTGTGATGAGTATATTTAAGGAAGTGACCCGGTCGATGAACATGCAGCCAGTTAACAAACATAAGACAGGCACAAATGTGATTAATCAGTTGAAAAAAACACGGTATCGTAAAACGATTTTGATTCTCATATTCTGTCGTCTATGAAGCTATATAACGCTAAGTAAAGCATGCACATTCGTACGTGTGTGATGTACAATATTGCATTAAAATAACGGGTAAATATGTGATGTTGTGATGTACACATACATATAACAACTACAGCTGTTATAGTGTGGTGAACACATACCTATTACAATACAAGTACAGCTGTTATATTGTGGTGTATACATACCTATTACAATACTAGTACAGCTGTTATATTGTGGTGTACACATACCTATAACAATACTAGTATAGATGTTATAGTGTGGTGTACATACATATTACAATAACGTGTACAGATGTTATAGTGTGGTGTACACATACATATTACAATTACGAGTACCGCTGTTATAGTGTATTGAACACATACATATTACAATTACGAGTACAGATGTTATGCTGTGGTATATCCATAATACATTTTAATGCTTTTAAAATCGGTGCAATATTCATTGTGCACTTTTGTTTAACAGTTCTAAGTTTCAATTTTACGTGTGTAGTATATGCAATAGCGCCTTTCACATTAAGATATAAGGCAAATCGAAAATATAAATAACAACAAAGTCAACCGGATGCGATGCTTGTTCCTAAACTGATATGAAATATCAAATCTTGGACATTAGCATGCAATTAATTTAACTGCTTACTTTTTGGTCACACGTTACTGAGAAGTTGATGGACAAATATATTAATGAATGAGCGATAGTAATACTTAAGGGAAAAAGTATTTTGGTATGACCATGGAATTGAATTCCGTGTATGTGCTTGGACCAGTTGCCACCCGGAATATGAAAAAAGATGCTTAACTATTAGACTCTCGGTACCGGTTCAAATGTGATCTTATCCTTTGTCTCCCCACAAAAGATGCGTACTACGTGGCGTGGTCTGGGGTCTGCAGAGATGACGACATTTGCGTTTTAATCTCTTCTTGATGAAATGTCATTGCTTGTTGAAAAGTAATGGATGTATTCTTGTGTAACGATGAGAGTTATCCTTGTCAGATTGTTCAGCATGGTGTTGACTAAAGGTTGAAATTGGTTCAGGGGTTTTGGAGAAGAAGTCGAAAATGTAAATTGTTTACGGACGGACGACGGACGACGCCAGACAAAAGGCGATCTCAATAGGTCACTTGGGACTTTGTCTCAGGTTACCTAAAGAGACATGAAACCCCGTGATGATCTTTGATATAAGTTGATAGAACGTGTTTTGCAATTGTTGTAAAAAAGAAAGTTTTATTAAAAACATAAATCTTCCCGTATTTTGCTGTCCATACGTCTTCTATTATTTTGCTTGTGCCATCTTTGTTGTTATTGCTTTTTATATTTTGTTTTGTTAATTTAAGTACATTTTTGACAAAACAAGCTGTGTTAATGCCAGCTTTTATTGAATTGAAAATAATCATCTGAACGCATTCCCAGCTTGGAGAATTTTTCATTTGTCTTTGTCATTGTATATACAATGTGTTTCAGAAACCGAAACAAATCAACCTCAATTGAGTGTTAATCACACAAATAACAATTGTTTGTATAACTTATGATTGCCCTGATGTTGGTAGATTTTACGTAAGAGTGACCCCATTGTTAAAAATGAAAAGATTTTCAACAAAATGTCTAGTCTTGCTTATAAATTTGGTTTAACCAACGCTCATTTAGTAATGGTATTTTGTAATTATAACACGGGAAATTGGTCTGAATATCAATGCCGTGTCTTGACGTTTAGAATAAAAGCTGAATTATAAGGTCAACGATTGTTTTCTTCCGGAATAAATGGTTTTCATTGTTTCAAGTGTTTACTTAATCGTGCAAAAGATTTTGAGATTATTGACTGACTCCTGTAAAATCGCTTTATACATACCCTTCTACGACATTGGATGTGTCCCCGGTTTTGTGTTGTTCAATACGCCTGGCATCCTCATTCGGCGCAATATTTCACATGGTGACACATGATGAATTCATCTGCGCTATGAAACAATATTTACAACCTTCATTGCAAATTTTCTAGTTTAACATTAAACGTAATGTTTTGATGCTTTGCAATTCATGATGTTTTTGTACAATGCCTTCATATTTCATATTCATATAACGTTAACATATAAAGAGTATAACATTGTTATTATATACTTGCGACAGCATATGCCAAAGGTTGTCGCGCTGCGTTTAAAATTCGATTAGGAAAGTTTAAATATACATATTAGGCTTTCACCAAGGCGACTGGGGTTCGATTCCCCTGTGTAATCAAGAAGATATTTGTTTGGCTACCAATGCCATCCTTTCCCTTTTTTAAGAGTACCACAGTGTTCATATTCAAGTATACATCTTTTATTTTGTATTTTAATTAAAACATTCACGCCAAGTTGTTAAACTACCCAAAACTACATATACATATATATATATACGTTTGACAGACATAGATGTGTTCTGTGATTTAATGCAAAATAATCTGATAAAAACCATAATGTATTTTGAATTTTTAATCTGAATGATAAGAATCACAATTGCAATGACTCATCAACAACAGTTCATGTTGAATGCGCCAGAGGTGCATCTGAATAGCGCATGTCAAAGGTTGTCGAGCCGCGTTTAAAATTATTTCATGAATGTTTATATATAGGTATAAGGCTTTGTTAAGTTGGACACGTTAAAGATAATGCACACGGTAATAAAATAGGCCGCAGTCTGTGTAACGAGAGCCAATACTTTGTTGTCAAAAGCTTTTGTCGGTGCCTTATTCATGTATATAGAAGCATGTCTACCATACCGGCGTCACGTTTGCATATCTATCTTGATATAAGGGCACCTTGAGAATAGCGTCAATTAAAACAATGTTTCTATTTTTCAAATCTACCTTCCAATTTGGCCAGAGGCTTGACAATTCTATAGCTTAGTTTTCTAGTAACAGATATAACTCAATCTTCACAAGTACTGTCTTGTCTTCTGAATTAATCCGCGTAGATATACCTGTATGTAAATATCCTCATTCCATAAAATGAATTTAACAAGGATAACGTGAAAAGATTTATATTCCAACAGATGCTGCAGCCGCGAATGTGAGGTGGCCTAAGAGCCACTAATTGCCAACGTAATCTTTTCTAATTCCTTTATTTGTACTTTAAGTTCAAATGCTGATATCGTGTTTATAACTAACAAAGAAATTAATTTACCACAACGATTTACCTTGCTATAACGTATTACGTTGTTAAGTACAGTACTGTGTGAGTATGTCGCACTCGACTCGACAAACATGGGGTTGTTCTGAATATCACGTTTTCCATAGTAAATGTCGAATACTAAGGGACAATTCTACAACATATAAGATAATAGGGTTTATTTTCTGCAAAGCGGAAAGCACCGATTTTTTTTTCTCTCATGAGTTTAGGATTCCATGTTACACGTTTCTTTCTGGAGATGTAGTGACAAGATATTAGAGGTTCTGTCAAGCGGATGGATACGCCATTATGTGTGGGGTTTGGCGCTGTTATCACCGACAAACTCCTGTAAATTGTTTGCAGTGTTTGTAGTGCTGTAATAATAATCAATATTTTTTCCCTGAATGAAGAAAATGTCGACTATTTTGGTTATGCAAAATGTTATTATTTATACTGTTCATTAAGGCTGTTTAATGTTAGAAAAAATAAATAATGGGCGGGGACAGCATGTATTTAAGTCTTACACCATATAATTTGCCATTCAAGATGATAATATAGTGACAGCTTTCTACGTTGCAAGATTGATCACACTTCATTATATAGTATGATCCGAGTGCAAGTACGTAACTGACAGAAGTAACCTTGTCAAGTATGTAACTGACAGAGTAACCTTGTCAAGTATGTAACTGACAGAAGTAACCTTGTCAAGTATGTAACTGACAGAAGTAACCTTGTCAATGAGAAAAATATCAATTAGACAAAGAACATTGTAATTACGTTTTTTGTTTAATCAAGAAAATACACAGCACACAATAAATGACATTTCATAGGGCAAAAGTTGCTTAACAAAATAAAATTAAAAAAACGTTTGGGAGAATTTAATTCATTAATATTGTACGAAGTGCTCTACTGTTTAAAAGGAAAAAAACAGCTTTTAAAACAGGAGATGAAGGCCATGAAACAAATAAAAAAAAAATACGATTTAATTTGTAAAATATGGGGTTTTAACGAAATATCCATTATAAAATCTTTATATTCTATTATTGAATAAAATGAGCCCCAATAACAGTGTAGCCGAGTTTTAATTTTTGAATTATCAACACACTAAGAGAAGTAATAGTTTATAGGTGTGGACCTCACAAATTATCAAAACAAAACAAAGGATAATGTACCAACCGAACAGATTCAAATTAATAAGTTCAGATACTACAGCCTTGTTTGTGATTATTTCTTTTATTAAATATTCATGCCACAGTTAACCACATATCATCAAACCCTGACAGCCTTAACTTGGATTACAATAAAAACTAGTACTAATTGTAACGGATGGGGCCGTTACAAAAGTCCCCCAACGACCCCTGTTGGACTTAGGCAAAATCAGACAACAGCTAAATTGCGACCAATAAGAGGACTCCAATGTGTTACCATGGCA